CGCCCGGAAATGCTATCTCTGCCAACAGCCAGGTCACTTTGCCAGAGTCTGCCCCCAGAGGAAAGAATGGCAAGGGATGGTAGGAGCTGTGGATGGAAGAGAGGAAGATATACCGGAGCAAGTAAAGCCAACGCCTGGCTGCCACTGTCGGGGCACAGCAGCCAGGCCAAAGAGCAGTGAGAGTGCCCACGCCAGAACCTCCTAAACCCGCCCTAGTGATAGAAGTGACGCTAGAGCTGCCAAACGGACACCCTCTAAAGATAAAGGCGCTGTTGGACTCAGGCAGCTCCTGCAATTTCATGAGCAAAGAGTTTGCAGCTGAACACCAGATACAGACGATCCCTTTAAGCAGCCCCCTGCAGGTGACCACGATCGATGGCAGGGAGCTGTTGGGAGGAGAAGTCAGCTTGCAGACCGTCCCAATGATAATGAAGGTAGCAAGGCACACCGAACTGATAGCTTTTAATGTGGCCACCTTGGGAGGAGCTCCCATTATATTGGGGATGAGCTGGCTAGCGTTACATGATCCGCTGGTGGGCTGGCATCAGAGAGTGGTTTCTTTTGGTTCAGCACATTGCTTAGAACACTGCAAAGAGGGAAAGGGTTTGGCAGGGGTCCAAGCCACCCTAGCAGGGACTGAAGTAACAGAGAACGTGAAGGTACCACGACAATATGCAGATCTCCGTGACGTCTTCAGCGAAAGGGAAGCTGACCAACTACCCCCGCATAGACCCTTTGACTGTCAAATCAATTTACTCCCTGGAGCACAGCTCCCTGTAGGCAAGCTGTACGCCATGTCAGACAGAGAGATGCAGGAGTTAAGAGAGTTCATTGACAAGAACCTGAAGAGAGGGTTCATCAGAGAGTCCAGGGCGGTGGGGGGCAGCCCAGTGTTTTTGTGGATAAGAAAAACACGAACAAGCCGAGGCTGGTGTGTGACTTCAGGGCCTTAAATGCAGTGTCAGAACCAGTAGCCTTCCCTATGCCCAGGATTGACGACATTTTGACAAGGGTGCGGAAGGGAAAGATTTTCACAAAGCTGGACCTAAGGGGGGCGTACAACCTGGTACGAATAAGGAAGGGGGATGAATGGAAAACCACTATGTTCACCCCTTTAGGGGCATTTGAATATTTGGTTATGCCCTTCGGCCTACAAGCAGGCTCCGCAACATTTCAATCGTTTATGAACCACGTCCTGGGGCCTTTGCTTTACAAGAATTGTGTGGCCTTTTTAGACGACGTGTTGGTGTATTCTGAGAATGAGGAGCAGCATGTGAGAGACGTCAGAGAAGTGTTGAGCAGGCTGCAAGCCAACCAGCTGTGGGTGAAACTGGAGAAGTGTCAGTTTCATACCAAGGAGGTGGAATTCCTGGGGTATCGCCTGTCTGACAAGGGATTGGCCATGGATCCCGGCAAGGTCCAGGCGGTGCTGGAATGGAAAACACCCAAAACAAAGAAGGATGTGCAGAGGTTCCTAGGATTTGGGAACTTCTATCGTAAGTTCATCCGAAACTTTGCCCACCTGACGGCGCCCATTACGGACTGTCTCAGCAGTAAGAAGAAGTTCGTGTGGACTGAGGAGGCGGAGCGAGCATTTGAGGAACTAAAAGGGCCTTCGCCTCGGAACAACAACTCCTGCATGTGGATTTACAAAAACCGATGAGAGTGGAAACTGACGCATCAGACAGAGCGATTGGGGCGGTGCTTCTGCAGCCAGGGAAGAAGGGGTCAGAGTGGAGACCGTGTGCCTTTTTTCGCGAAAGCTGAACAAATCCGAGAGGAACTACACGGTGTATGACCGAGAACTACTAGCCATTCATGAGGCGTTCCGGAGATGGAGGCACCTGCTAATTGGCGCACAACATAAGGTGCAAGTGTGCACTGACCACAAGAACTTAGAGTATTGGAGGACGGCACGAGTGCTCAACCAACGGCAAGTGAGATGGGCCCAGGAGTTCTCCAAATTTAACTTTGAGATTAATTACGTGCCAGGCCCAGAGAACATTAGGGCGGACGCTCTCTCACGCAAACCTGAATATTTGGAGGGGAGGGGCACCCGAAGAGAGACATGTCATTCCAGAGGACCGCTGGGTGTGTGGGGCGGCATTGGTGGGACAAAGAGAACTGGTAGAGGAAACAGAGAATGATGAATACGCCCAGAATAAGCTCAGAGGTCTTAGGGGTGAGGGAGAGGAACCAGGGGTTTCGAGGAAAGAAATGGAGCTTTGTATTACAAAGGGGCACTGTATATCCCTGAAGGAGAGTTAAGGGGAGGGTACTCAAGCAGTTGCACGACAGCCCTACGGCGGGGCATTTTGGACAACACAAAACCATGTGGTTGGTCACCAGGGAATTTTGGTGGCCTAAGGTGAGGAAGATGTACGTGAGTATGTAAGAGGGTGCGAGCAATGCCAGAGAGCCAAAGGGGAAGGCGGGCGCCGGCGGGGCTGTTAGAACCCTTACCAACCCCAGAACGACCTTGGGAGGCAGTGTCGATAGATTTTATGACTGATCTGCCGAAGTCCAAAGGAAAACAGCCATCATGGTGGTGGTAGACCTACTAACAAAGATGTGCCACTTTGTAGCTTGCTCGCATGCAGTCACGGCGGAAGAGACAGCGAAGTTATTTGTAGAACACATTTTTAGGTTGCACGGGGTGCCATTGAGGGTGGTCTCAGACCGAGGAAAACAATTTACTTCCAGGTTCTGGAGGAAGCTCATGAGCTTACTGCAGGTGGAGGTCAATTTTTCGACTGCCCGGCACCCTGAAACCAACGGGCAGGCGGAAAGAGCAAACGGTGTCCTCCAGCAATACCTGAGGTGTTATGTCAATGACAGAGAGAATGACTGGGTAGAAAAGTTGGCGCTGGCGGAATTTGCCTACAACAATGCCGAGAATGTGTCCACAGGGATGAGCCCCTTCTTGGCTAATTATGGGTGTCATCCCAGGGCTTTCCCGGTGGAGATGGGGAGAGATGGAGCGTCCCGGCAGCCGAGCATTTTGTGGAAGAAATGGAAGCAATCCATCGTCAGCTCCAACTCAACTTAGAAAGGGCGAAGGAAGAATACAAGAGGCAGGCAGACAAGAACCGAAGGGAAGGTGAAACCATAAGGGTGGGAGATAGGGTGTGGCTGTCAACCCAAGGGTTGCCGTTCAAAGGAGGTTGTAAGAAATTAAGACCCAGGAGGTTGGGTCCCTTTGAGGTCATTCAACAGGTCAACCCAGTGGCTTTCAGGCTCCGGTTACCCAACCACATGAAACTGCACCCAGTATTTCACAGGTCGTTACTGTCACCGTACGAAGGGGAACGAGAAGGGCTGGCCACTCGGGGACCGGTCATAGAAGAAAGAGAATGCAGCAGCCATGTGGCAGAAATCCTCGACGCCAGGTGGAAGGGGGATCAGGTGGAGTATTTGGTAGCGTGGGAAGGAGAACCGGAGTCAGAAAACACTTGGGTAATGGCCGAAGATATCAATGACGAGGTATTGATAGAAACGTTCCATCAAAGGTTCCCAAGGAAACCTCAGCCTGTGGAGAGGTTCCGGAGGAATACTTTGGGACCACTGATGAGGGGAGGAGTTGGAAGGATTCCCGGACTCGGAAGGGGAAGGGAGATGGACTCTGAGGAGGAGGTGTACTTGAGACCAGGAACCGCAACAGGTTGAGAGAAGTGTTCGAGACATCGGAAGATGAAGGAAGTTCATTCCGGGGTTTTGCCTCCTCACCGCCCGTAGAGGAGGGGGCGAGAGGGGGTGAAGGGGGCCCTGGAGGGGAGGTGGATGTCAGGGAACTGCCATCGGACGGAAGGGAGGTGAAAGGGCTCACACAGGTTGGGAGAGACGCAGCAGCTGAAGAGGGAACCAGCAGGGAGGTGAAAGGGCTCACACAGGTTGGGAGAGACGCAGCAGCTGAAGAGGGAACCAGCAGGGAGGTGAAAGGGCTCACACAGGTTGGGAGAGACGCAGCAGCTGAAGAGGAGCTGAGCTGGAGGGATGGCTCAGAGACACTTCCAGCGAAAACAGTGGGGAGGTTTCAGGACCTCCTGTAAGAACACCCACTCCTCGCCGGAAACTGTCACGCAGAGAGTCCAGAAGACGTGTTTCCGTTAAGGAGCTTTTATGTTGGAAGCGATTACGAAGCAACCACTGTCGGAATCTGCTAGTGACTAGAGGAGCCATGTCTGAGGGCTCCGTCACAGACAGAGGTTTGTGGACTTGAACAAACTCTGAGGGGATACGATTTTACGCACAAGCAGCTCATCATCTCATCACA